TTTTTTTTTTTTAACAAAGAATAAAATAGGGAAAAGAATTTCAATTCAACATTTTCACTCTGCTTTTCCTCACTATTTATGGATATAAAAATTTTATTTTAAATACTCCTTATGGATAATTATAAAATATTGTTTAATATTTGAAGAAAAAGAATATTCTTAAGAATTCTCAATCCTCAATGAAGCACAATTCGATATTTCGTTATAAAAAATAATAATTTTATCCACCTGCCCAGTTTATTAATCACGATATCGTCTTCTTTCGAAAAATTGCCGCACAATTATTCAGTCTTCTGATCGTTCCAAGCTGCAAAATTACTAGCGCATCGATCAACGGGTTAAAAAGACAAGAACAAATGGAGTGCAATTGTGTCGTCGATATTTCATAACGTGATAATGCGATCTGAAATATCGTGGTGATGGTGTGAATTGAAGGTGCTTGAATGCGCATTCAGTTCCATTCGGCCGGGATAGTTTTAATTTTATTGTCACCGCGTTATTTGACGCCATGCTGTCAGTAATGGCGTCTAAGTGCATTGTTAAGGAAAGGCACGGAGGGGTAAATGGGGAACATGAAAGGGCACGATATTCGTGTACCAAAGGGGATAATGCCAAGGTAGCGAGGGTAATGAAGGTAATTTCAGGTTGAAATTTTTCTGGAAATGTCGTGGCCTCAATATGGAACGAGTTTTGTTGTAAAATTGTGATAAATTGGAGAAATGAAATGGAGAGGCGATATTCTTTGAAAAATAATAAAAAAAATTGGAAAAATTTTAGAACGAAAGGTATCTTTGCACGAAGATGATTTTTTGGAAGATTTTTTGGAAGATGAATAGATTTTTTTTTTTTTTAATGCAATTTATTGCAATTTTAGTTAAAGTGAATCGGTGTTGTGAAAAAAAGAAATTGGAAAAAAATTTTGGGATAAAAATATTTTTTATTTAATTAAAATTATTTAATTCGCATGTAAATTTCAATTAATTTAAAAGATACGCTTGATTCACAGCGTGTATTTTATAATATGATTTCTGTAAAAGCAAAGTCTATAATAAAATATTCTTTTGTTGTGTGTTGAATTGTATTGTTTGAAATTGAATTAAATTAATTGAATGAAAATAAAGGTATTTATAAATTTATAAAGGATAAATTAAAATTGGCAATTGTTAATTACGTGATTGCAAAATTAAGAATTTAATGATAGAATTAAACGATAAATTAAATTTTACTTTTAGGTTTTATTATAATAAATGCAGCTTTCAATATATAACAATTCATCATCAACTAATTTTATAAAGAATTTAAAATAGAAAAATTGTATTTTAAGGCTTTGTTTCTTAATTACTAATTGAAAAATTGATAAAAATTGTCACTCAAACTAAACTAAAAAATAAAGCCTCAAACGTTATTTTTCTTTTTCTTCAACTCCGTCTTACTTTAACTCGAACAATCGTCCATTAATTTCTCGAACACTTCCTTTCACTTTTAATTAAAAAATCAATAACAATAATCTTTTACACTCCAATTTTTCCTTTTATTTTAACTCGAAAAAAATCAGCCTAATTTTTCCATGCCTCTGGTTCTAATTCCCCTTTTAATATCACGCATCGATAGTAACATTCGATCAATCCCTCGTTCTCTTCGCCCTTATTTTTTCCCTCCAGAGCCAGAATCGATCGCGTTCAATCGTTAACTCGGCAAAGTTTCGTCGGACGCTGACATCATGGAACAAATCGAATCGCCGCCGATTCGAAAACTCGGAAAATTCAATTTCTATCGTCGAAAAAAAAAAAAAAAAAGAATTTCACGCGCGCGACTTTCGGATCGAGCGTCTCTTAAACCGTGAAATCGAAGTGACTTTTGCGTCGTTCGAGTTGGCAACTGATTCTCGGCCAATAGACAACCTCCTTGTCCGATCCCTTTTATCCAATCGTTTATCGCGAGATATATTTTTCGTTCGAGATTGAAAATAAGAGATATTTCGATGATTTTTGCCAATTTTTGACTTTAATATCGTGTTTTTAAATAAACAAGCGGAGAAAGATAATTTCCCATTAATAATATTGGGATCAAATTCGATGTAAATTTTAGGTTATTCAATGGTCATTTATCAAATTATTTGATTTTTATTTGAATAATAATTTGAAATTAATTTGAGAAATTTAAAGAATTTTTTTTTTATTAAAATTGAACTGCGTTTAAAAAGCCAATACGATAATTGATATATCGTGTTATATTATAATTGAGTTATATTAAAATAAGTTGTTGTATGAACAATGATTAAAATAAAATTATTTTATTTTGTATGCATTTTTAAATTATTTTAATATTTGTTATTTTATTTGGTTTTAGGTATTTGTTAATGGATTTCGCTGTAAAAATGTAAACATATTCTTCATTCGAATTCTTGGAATTCTATTAGGGAAGGTCTATTCCCAGAAGCGACATTTTTCTTTTTATCCAGGTCTAAGTATTTTTTTTGTTTTTATATTTTTAAAATAAATCTACTTATAAAATCTCTTTCTCTTCTCAAAATGTATGTTTTCTCAAACCTCTTATATCATCTTTTTCCTCTTTCCATTAAAACTTTTCATATATTAAGCTAACCACGTGCTATCTTTCTTGTTCATCAACTTCTATCAAATTATCACCGTTCCCATTCAACATTTCCTAACCTCACTTAATTTTCACAGGTATATTCTTGAACCGACGACACGAGCGTGCTCGTTCGAGCGATCACCGCACCACCTACACATCCATCTCCCCAAGGAAAGAAGCATCGACCGCTATTCGGTCCCCAGTACTTAATTATTCTTGCAAGTGGCACCGGTGTCTTAATTATCACGCGCTTTCAGCCCTTTTAAGGGATACCTTTGGCAGAAGTGGCGAACCCGGCTAATTGCATTGCCAAAGAGTACTAAAGGTGGCGTGACAGCGTTTCTTAATTGAAACTACAACCTTCAGAACCACAAGTTCTTTGTCAGATAATCTTATAAGCAAATATTTTTCCAAATTTCCTTTCGTATCGATTCAATATTTCCAATTCTTTGATCATGTAGCTTTGATGATTAAGTTAGGTTAGATTAAGTTAATTTTATTAGGTTAATAATGTATAGATGGTGTATTTTTCCTGATAGCAAATGATCATGTGGCAAAGAAGCTTTAGATATTGCTGAAAATCTTACAAAATCAAGAAATAGATATTTTTTTTCTACAAAAAAAGTATTCAAGTTTTATTCTATAAGTGTGAATAAAATCCTAGGCATTTTCTTTTATTTCAGAATTAGCAAAGAATTAGTTTAATTAGTTTAATTATGTTCAAAACAGAAATTTTGTACAAATTATATTCGTGAAAATCTTACAAGTTCATATCAATTTTACTAATAATAGCAATAATTATAGTAATCGGTTGTATTTTTTTCCTAACCTAACTTAAAAACAACAATCGTAACCGATTACAGCTCACGCTCTCGAGTCTTCTTATTCGATACGGAGAAAAAAATAGTTTCCTTTATTGAGAGACAAAAGTATAGAATGGACGAATAGATAAGAAAGAAAACGAATGAAACGTTCTTCGAAGGTACGAATGAAAAGAGAAAAGCAATCGAATGGAAGCAAAGGAAACAGGGTTCACCGCGTGGCAATCTGTCTTCGTTCTTGCGACAGAAAAAGAAATTAAAAGAAAAAGAAGAGAATATCGAGCACCATTCAACCGAGAGGTATTCTCGCGACAGAAGAGAGGCGGGAGGCCTGTCTTTCTGTGTCGTTTCCGGTTTCATCCCCTCCTTTGAGCTCTCGTCTTTTTCGCACCACCACCAACTTTTCCACTTGCTTTTCCAAGCCATTTCGATGCTTTTACTTGTGAAAACTTAATTCCCCGCCAGATCTCTCTATGGTCGCTTTCTTCTTTGTAAACACTCCCCCTGTTTTTGTAAGGAATAAGCATCCTCGAAGAGAAGTTACTCGTCTCATTCCATCGTAATTCAACCATGTGGTTTTTATTTAACTTTCCTTTCTCTCGTATCGATAAATTTACCGATTCGAAATCCATTACGTGTGTACAATGAGAACAATATGGATTATAATCGGTCGAAATATGTACGATGATGGAATTGTATTGTTAGACCGTTGTCGAGGAAATGGAATAATGTTGGGAGGATTGATCGGTGATTGGAAGAAATTAATAGTAAAAAATTTAAATAATATAAACATTAAATTTAATAGTTTTAATAATATCATTGTAAATATTTTTTTAAAACATTTTTATTTCAAATGAATGAAATTCGTTTAGTATATTTTCAAAGTTCATGAATTAATTCTTCTGAGATTAAATTCTTCTATGAAAAAATTTCAAAGATGATGTTTCTTTTTTCAGATATAAAATAATGAAAATATTATCAATTTCTGAATTTTACAATTAGATGTAGAAATTGATAGGTTTAAAATTATTTTTTCTGATATATTTTATTATATAGTAATCATCCAACTGCAAAATGGCAAAAGGTAAGTATTTGTAAGATTAAGAAAACTGTTTAAAAATACCAAAAACTGTAAAATAAAGAGAATTACAAGTAAGTATTCAAATGGTCTCTATAAAAGTTTCTATAAAATTAAGAAAACTATTAATAAATATTAAAAATTGAAAAAAGAATTGTAAGAGGTAAATAACAGAAGTTTTACATTTTTTTTTTTTTTTTTTTGAATTAAGTTTATCAATTTTATGTATAAGTAAGAACTAAAAATATTTATTGTTAAAATATAACATATAGAATGATTTTTTGACATTGACATTTCTGATTGAATTAGTTACTTTTTTTTAAGTAATTAATACATATAATACACATATTTTTAAGTAAATAAATTTAGCAAATAAAATTATATTATACATATTTTCAAAATTATTATAAAAAATTATATTGTACAATTCAAAACAATTTTTTGTCCTTTTCAATTTTTACCTACTTATTCTTTATAATTTAAGATACTAACATAAATTAATCCATTCTATTA